CATGTTATTCCCATTCTACTGATGAGGAAATGAAGCTCAGAGAGGTAAAGTGACTTGGTTGACATTGTTGTTGTTTAATTGTTAAGCATGTCTGACTCTTTTTTTACGACCCCATGGACTATAGCCTGCCAGGCTCCTCTGTCCATGGGATTTCCCAGGCAAGAATACTGGAGTGGGCTGCCATTTCCTTCTCCTGACCCAGGGATTGAACCCGTGTGTCCTGCATTGTAGGCAGATTCTTTACAACTGAGCCCCCTGGGAAGCCCCTTGACTGACATCTTCCTGCGGGAATGGCAAGGCAGCGAGCTCATGCCGCTGTTCTTGTAGCAGTCATCTCAGGGAGGGTTCTGGATTAGAGAAAAACACAAGGGCCTCTCTTGAGAGCCAGTACAGGCAAGAAGATCTGCTGTGGGCTTCTGCCAGTGGATACCAAAAACGTCTGAGGAAGGAAAAGGGAAGGAAGTAAACAAGGAAACACACTGGCCTTGGGTTCTGAGCCGCCAAGCCTGATGTCGCGATCCCAGCGCAGCTGACATTTCCAGGTCTGTAGGCCAGGCTTGACATTGCTGGGTAAGTTGCTTCAGGGCTGCCCTGGTGGCCCTGATGGGAAAGAATCTGCCTGCATTGCGGGAGACATGGGTTCGATCCGTGGGTGGGAAGGATCCCCTGGAGAAGGGAATGGCAACCCACTCCAATATTCTTGCCTGGAGAATTCTATGGACAGAGGAGCCTGGCGGGCTACACCCCACGGGGTTGCAAAGAGTCCTGCGCGACTGAGCCACTAACACTTTGCAACTTCCAAGTCGCTTCAAAATAATCTAGGCGTTGACCTCTTGTTTGGAACCTCGGTGACAGCCACGGTGGCAGCGTGTTGGGGCATGGCCCCTGTCTGGGCCATCAGCAAAGCTGGCACCAGCTGGAGCTTCCAACTCACCTCGGGGCAAGTGGCCCTGAGCTCCAGGAGCAGGGACAGCCCTGCGTCCGAAGCAGCCCTCTCACCAAGGGACTTCTGCCACATTTAAAAATGAGCCGTCCGTGACTGTGTGCTGCCTTTTAAAATATTTAGTGAGTTTTTTGAATAGAAGAATGTTCTGAGTGGCTCTTCAAAGCCTTTCTGACATTGTTCAGTTTTCAAAAGTGAGCAGTCCCAGTGCTCAAGGCTACTTCTAGGTAACAGATAACCGTGAAGTGGAAGTATGGAAACGAACATTTTATTTAAAAAAGAAAAGTTAAGGGGGAGAGTGGAAAGAGCATTGTCTAGGAAGGGCCTTTGAGGACTGGGAGATTTAAAAACATTGGAAGCTGTCAGATCCTGAGATAGACCATCCCCTGCTGTGAATCTTGTTTTGGCGTGGAGGGAAGTGAGGGGACCAGATTGTTCAAAGGCAAGGAGAGGTGCTTACCCTGGCATGATCTGGAACCCTGGAGTCTGATTTGGTGGGTGCACAGAGCTCTTCCCCACCTGATGATGAATTCCAAACAGGTTAACTTCCTTCTCCGGCTTTCCTGGTGGCTCAGTGGTAAAGAATCCGCCTGCCAATGCAGGAGACACAGGTTTGATCCCTGGGTCGCAAAGAAACCCCTGGAGGAGGAAATAACTATCCACCCCAGTATTTTTGCCTGGGAAATCTCATGGACAGAAGAGCCTGGCTGGCAACAGTCCATGGGGTCGCGGAAGAGTTGGACAGAACTGAAGGACGAAACTACAGCAAGCAAAACTTCCTCCTTAGACTTCTCTAAGTTAGAGTCTTATAAATGTCTTTCACTCTTTTTGTCTTTTTTTTTTTTAAATAAGAAATGGAAACCTCTGAGTTCTTTAGAACATGCAGCTACATGCTTCTCAGCAGCTGCTGCTTGAGTTTAGAAAAATATATTTTAATTGGCCATTTCATTCCTGGCCTGCCTGAGAATTTTGTACTGTCTTCTGATACCTGCATTCCTTAGGGGCGGTAGAACTTTCTAGAAAGTGTGTGGCCATCAGAACAAGGATCAGGAAGTGCTCTGGAGAGACCCAAGGAAATGAAGATGATGAAGAAAGAGGTTATGGGAAGGGAGACGGCCCAACTTGAAAACACAAGGAACCAGAGCGTCTGTGTGTGTGGAACTCGGTTACTGAGAGTGGCTGGAGCCCAGGTGCAGAGTCCACAGTGCTCTTTTTTTTTTAATTCATTTGTATTGAATTACAGCTGAAACCAGTGGATTTTTAGAATTGTTTATTGGCTGTGCCGGGTCCTTGTTTTTCTCGTTGCGGTGCTCATTGTGGTGGCTTCTGTCTCGCAGAGCACAGCTCTAGGGCGCGTGGGCTCGGTAGGTAGTTGTGGTTCCTGAGCTCCAGAGCACAGGCTCAATAGTTGAGGTGCACGGGCTGAGTTGCTCTGAGGCACGTGGGCTCTTCCTGGATCAGGGATCGAACCCACGTCTCCTGCACTGGCAGGCAGCTTCATTACCGCCAAGCCACCAGGGAAGTCCAGTGCTCTTTAATTGGAAGATCTATGGCCTTGTGGGAGGTGGTGCTTCATTTGTGTTATTAGCTCCTGGTGTCAGGGAGGGATGTTTTCTTTATCTTCTTTTTATTACTTATTTATTCTGCTTCGTTCCAGAAAAGGATTTGAGGAGGGCTAAACACTATGGCGTCTGGCCAGCTCTCCTGTGAGACTGGCCAGCTCTCCCGTGAGACTGAGGTGAACCGTTCGGTCGTTCCCCACATATATCACCTAATAAGCCAGGACAGGAGATGGTGCCTCCAAGAAGGCTGTGCATCTCCGGGCTGTAGCATCGTCATGTGCCAGCAGGGACATGGTCCTGGCCTGGCTTCCCTCAGTGGTCATGCAACGATGAAATGCACCAAAAAAGAAAAAAGGCCTTTTGTTGCGATAGCGAGGAGGCACGCAGGAAGGGAAGGCTGAGGTGTTGGTGTGGCCTTACTGCTCCCAAAGCGGGGAACACGGCTGCCCAGGGCCTTGGGAAGGCCTCCCTGCCCATTTCTTGGGGGAAGATTCTCCTGAGGGCCTCCAGCATGGGGAACTGAATTAACGCAGACATGCTGGGAGAAGGAAGTTGCCCAGACACCCCGGGGAAAGAAAACGGCCTCAGAAGTTCTCCTGGAGCTGGGTTTAAAAATGAGGGGAAGCTGAGCTTTGGAATCTTTTTTCCCTTTCTGTCTGTTCCCTCATCACCCATCCACTGGTGGTGGGTGGAGACACATGTCCTGCTGGACACGAGCGTGCCGTGATGACCAGGCTTGGAAGGCATGTCTGGGTTCCCAGCAGTGGGTGATCTGGCCCAGTTGGGTCCGTGTTGCGGAGAATCTCCATGCTGACCCCTGACTCCTGGAGGACCCCACACACTGCATGGCTCAGGGAGGTCCAGGCCCCTTTAACGCCGTCAAGTCTAACCCGTAAGGAACTCGGGGCATTTGTTCTCAGAGTCCACAGAGTTCATGCTGCTAAGGGTGAAGCCCCCAAGAAACATACTTCTCGGGTGGGAATCAAGGAAACAAAAACTCCATCTCTCTATGGGATTTCAGAAGTCCCTCCTCTTTCGAGGAGGGGCTGTACTCCCCCTCCCCTTCCTGATCCTGGGTTTGGAAACTAACATGCACCTTTGGCTCCACTGGGGAGTTTGCAGCTACTGTACTTTATCAGTGTTAAAATCTTCCAGGTACAAGGAAGTCTGAAAAAACAAAAAGGGTTTTTTTTTTTTTCCAAGACCTCGGCTGTGATGCCATGTTCCCTTTCCCTTCCCCGGCCAGTGAGCGAGTCTGCTGGGGGAGGGCAGGGCCTGCCCACACCTGTCCCGTTTCACGTTTCACGTGGGGTGTTAGGAGAGCTTCAGGCTGGAGAAGCAGCTAGTTTCACCCGCAGGTTAACGTTGGACACGAAATAGGTGCTGGTTGGAAGGTCCAGGCTCCCATTTTGTGACCGCCCCCAATGATGGACAAAGACAGGGACGTTTTGGCTCCACGCCACCAGCATCCACTAATACTGGCTGCCAATGCCAGAGCCAGTTTGTCACAAACTCACACTTGCTACTGTTCATCCTGATCGCCCTGTCAGATGTGACACTCTTTCATTCAGCCTCCTGACAAGGGACCTCATATAGGCCAGTGCCCTGCCCCGAGGGGTCTTAAGGCCAGAGAGTCCATGCTGTGATTGGGGGTGTGTGTGTGTGTGTGTGTGTGTGAAGCCATTAGGTCAGTGATGGGGGGTGGGTAGCTGCCAGCCAGTAGTGATGTTCTTACGATGCTGAAGTCCCGTTCCTATGTGCATCCGTGTTTAACTTGGACGGTGCTTTCTGCACAGACACTGGTGTATGAGACCCTACGATTTCCTGTAGCTCAACTCCCAAATGACGCAGAGGTTATCAGCCAGTTCTCTTAAAACGTTTGCGAGGTGATTCAGTTTGATTTTGTTTCTTAGAACTTCCTTGGATGGAAGATTTGCCTAGTCATGACTGGGTGGGGGGGGGGAGGTAGTTGTTTTTTCCCCCAGAGAGGTTTGGCAATGCCTAGAGAGATCTTTGATCCTCATGACTGGGAGGGGAGGGAGTGAGACTGGCTTCTAGTGGGTAAGCCTCCAAACATCCTACAAGGCACAGGACAGTACCCACCCACCCCCACTCCCTACCCCACCCCCGAAGAATTATCAGGGGCTACATGATGGTTGAACTTTGCCCCGCTTTTAGGCAGCCCAGCCTTTGTATGCTTCCCATTGTTGGAATCAGGCATTCTCACAAATAACATCTCCTTTGGCTTCTGAGATGATGGGTTTAAAGACATCATGTTATAGGGGCACAGAGCGACGTCTACCAATTGGAGTGACTTGCTAAGGCCGCCACACAGAAGCTTCTCTAGCCTATCCGTCAGGGGGTCTGCCAGGGGGTCTGCCTGGGTGTCGCTGGCCTGGGCCTGCTCGGCAGTGGTCCGCTGCCGCTCCCGAGAGCCGCGAGCCCGCCCTCATCTCATGGCTCTCTTGCCTCTTTCTGTCCGTGTGTCTCCCCAGGTAAAGATGAGCCTTCCAGCTACATTTGCACAACATGCAAGCAGCCCTTCAACAGCGCGTGGTTCCTGCTGCAGCACGCGCAGAACACGCACGGCTTTCGCATCTACCTGGAGCCCGGGCCGGCCAGCAGCTCGCTCACGCCGCGGCTCACCATCCCGCCGCCGCTGGGGCCCGAGGCCGTGGCCCAGTCCCCACTCATGAATTTCCTGGGCGACAGCAACCCCTTCAACCTGCTGCGCATGACGGGTCCCATCCTGCGGGACCACCCGGGCTTCGGCGAGGGCCGCCTGCCGGGCACGCCGCCGCTCTTCAGCCCGCCGCCGCGCCACCACCTGGACCCGCACCGCCTCAGCGCCGAGGAGATGGGGCTTGTCGCCCAGCACCCCAGTGCCTTCGACCGAGTCATGCGCCTGAACCCCATGGCCATCGACTCGCCCGCCATGGACTTCTCGCGGCGACTCCGCGAGCTGGCGGGCAACAGCTCCACGCCGCCACCCGTGTCCCCGGGCCGCGGCAACCCTATGCACCGGCTCCTGAACCCCTTCCAGCCCAGCCCCAAGTCCCCGTTCCTGAGCACGCCGCCGCTGCCGCCCATGCCCCCCGGCGGCACGCCGCCACCACAGCCGCCGGCCAAGAGCAAGTCGTGCGAGTTCTGCGGCAAGACCTTCAAGTTCCAGAGCAATCTCATCGTGCACCGGCGCAGCCACACGGGCGAGAAGCCCTACAAGTGCCAGCTGTGCGACCACGCGTGCTCGCAGGCGAGCAAGCTCAAGCGCCACATGAAGACGCACATGCACAAGGCCGGCTCGCTGGCCGGCCGCTCCGACGACGGGCTCTCGGCCGCCAGCTCCCCGGAGCCCGGCACCAGCGAGCTGGCCGGCGAGGGCCTCAAGGCGGCCGACGGCGACTTCCGCCACCACGAGAGCGACCCGTCGCTGGGCCATGAGCCCGAGGAGGAGGACGAAGAGGAGGAGGAGGAGGAGGAGGAGCTGCTGCTCGAGAACGAGAGCCGGCCCGAGTCGAGCTTCAGCATGGACTCGGAGCTGAGCCGCAACCGGGAGAACGGCGGCGGCGGCGGCGGCGGGGCGGCCGGCGTGCCGGGCGCGGGCGGCGGCGCCGCGGCCAAGGCGCTGGCCGACGAGAAGGCGCTGGTGCTGGGCAAGGTCATGGAGAACGTGGGCCTGGGTGCGCTGCCGCCCTACGGCGACCTGCTGGCCGACAAGCAGAAGCGCGGCTCCTTCCTGAAGCGCGCGGCCGGCGGCGGCGGCGGCGGCGGCGGCGGGGACCCGGGCGACGACGATGACGCCGGGGGCTGCGGCGACGCGGGCCCCGGGGGCGCGGTCAACGGGCGCGGCGGCGGCTTCGCGCCGGGCACCGAGCCCTTCCCGGGCCTCTTCCCGCGCAAGCCGGCGCCGCTGCCCAGTCCCGGCCTCAACAGCGCGGCCAAGCGCATCAAGGTGGAGAAGGACCTGGAGCTGCCGCCTGCCGCGCTCATCCCGTCGGAGAACGTGTACTCGCAGTGGCTGGTGGGTTACGCGGCGTCGCGGCACTTCATGAAGGACCCCTTCCTGGGCTTCACGGACGCGCGCCAGTCGCCCTTCGCCACGTCGTCCGAGCACTCGTCCGAGAACGGCAGCCTGCGCTTCTCCACGCCGCCCGGGGACCTGCTGGACGGCGGGCTGTCGGGCCGCAGCGGCACGGCCAGCGGGGGCAGCACGCCGCACCTGGGCGGCCCGGGCCCCGGGCGGCCGAGCTCCAAGGAGGGCCGGCGCAGCGACACGTGCGAGTACTGCGGCAAGGTGTTCAAGAACTGCAGCAACCTGACGGTGCACCGGCGGAGCCACACCGGCGAGCGGCCTTACAAGTGCGAGCTGTGCAACTACGCGTGTGCGCAGAGCAGCAAGCTCACGCGCCACATGAAGACGCACGGGCAGATCGGCAAGGAGGTGTACCGCTGCGACATCTGCCAAATGCCCTTCAGCGTCTATAGCACCCTGGAGAAACACATGAAAAAGTGGCACGGCGAGCACTTGCTGACTAACGACGTCAAAATCGAGCAGGCGGAGAGGAGCTAAGCGCGTGCGCGCGTGTGTGTGTGCGCGCGCGCGCGGGGGGGCCCGGGCCCCACCCCGCGCACCTGTACAGTCGCCCCGTCGCCAAGCGATAGAATGCTGACCTGACACTTGCCTCCGCATCACCGCCGCTCGGCGCCCCCCGCGGGTCCCCGGGGCCCAGGGGAGGCGGCCCTCCAACCTAACCTGTGTCTGCGAAGTCCTATGGAAACCCGAGGGTTGATTAAGGCAGTAAAAGCAAACAAACAAACAAAAAAATTGTGGAGCCTTTTAACTGTGCAATAATTTCTGTATTTATTGGGTTTTGTAATTGTTTTGGCATGTGCAGGTACTTTTTATTGTTATTCTTTCTGTTGAAATTCCTTTAAGAGATTTTGTTGGGTATCCATCCCTTCTTTAGTTGGTGTTTTTTTTTTTTTTTTCTTCTTTAACCCAGTAGTAGCCTGAGCGATGACTCCTGGGCTCTGTAGAGGGGAAACTATCTTTTAAATTATAATTTGGGGGGGGGGAGGGCGCTGCTTTTTTTGAAATCTAAGCTAAGCATGTGTAATTTCTTGTGAAGAAGCCAACACTTAAATGACTTTTAAAGTTGTTTACTTTTTTATTCCTTCTTTTTTTTGTCCTGAAATAAAAAGTGGCATGCATTTTTGGGGGGGAGGGGGGCGGATGTACAGCGGATAACAATCTTTAAAGTTGTAGCACTTTGTTTCAGAATTGGAATGGAGATGTAGCACTGATGTTGTCCTGAGTAAGGGAGGCCTTTTCTGTGTTGACTTCAACCTTGCCATACATAAGGAAACCTTTGAATGGTGGGCTTTCCCTCCTGCCACCTCCCCAGATACTCAGCACTGCAAGAGAAACAGAAGTTTTTGAGGACTTTACCCCAGGAAATGGCCCAAGAGTGTCCTAAAATTGTGCATTCCCAGCAAATCCCATCCGTATCTTGGGATGTCGGTGTGCCCTGGAATGCCATCTCTGCTATTTGCCATAGATTAGACTAAATAAAATAGGCTGAAGGTACTTTGGGGGGTAGATAGATGGTGGTGGCCTGCAATAACACAGAAAGGAAAGAAACCAGCCGTGTTCTTTCAGGCTTCTTCTGGCTTGACCGTTTCTCCCTCTCTTTTTATCACCCTCACCACAGAAATCCTAAGTCATCCGTTGCTACCAGTGACAACAGACCGTTTCTCAAGCAGACAAGTGTCCTGATGGTGACTTGAGGGAAGTTAGTATTCTCTCATGCAATGCACACTGATGACATTATACGGATGGGGTGGGGAATCTTGCCAATTTCAGTTCCCTTTTACTGCAAAGCGGGAAGAGTTCCATCCGAAGGTGCCCAGCGCTACTTCCCAGTTTTGTTTTTTTTTCTATCCCGTTAGGTTGGAAGGTACTAAACATTGGACTGTTCAGATTAGACATTTGGATTCTGTTGACCCGCACTTTAAAGCTTTTGTTTGCATTTAAATTAAATGGCTTCTCAACAAGAAATTGCAGCATCTTCTTCTTTTTGGCCCAGAGGTGGGTTAAACTGTAAGGGATGGCTGAGATTGAGTGTCAGTATTGCTAAGCGTGGCATTCACAGTACTGGCACTATAAAGAACAAAATAAAATAATAATTTATTGGACAGTGTTTCTACTGCCATTCAATTTGATGTGAGTGCCTTGAAAACTGATCTTCCTATTTGAGTCTCTTGAGACAAATGCAAAACTTTTTTTTTCTTTTGCAATGAAAAGACTTTTTTAAAAAAAGTAAAACAAGAAAAGTACATTTCTTTAGAAACAAAGCCACATTTACTTTAAATAAATTTTCAAAAATCCTGGTTGAAGACGTGAAAATGCCATAAGACCCAATCAAATGAAGAAATAAACCCAGCACAACCCTGGATATCCATTAGCTGAATTAACCTCAGCCCCTTTTGCCTGTGGGACAACGCTGCTTAGATGTGGAGTGGAGGTGACTTACTGCTGAATTAAAACTCAAGTGACACAAGGTACAAGTTGATATTGTTGAATGAAAAAACAATTCAGGAACAATGGCTAATTTTTTTCTAAAGTTAAATTTAGTGCACTCTGTCTTAAAAATACGTTTACAGTATTGGATACATACAAGGGTAAAAAAAAAATTGTGTGTATGTGTGTTGGAGCGATCGTTTTTTTCAAAGTTTGCTTAATAGGTTATTAAAAAAAATGCCACAGTGGCTGCGTGTATATTGTTTTCTTTTGGTGACGGGGTTTTAGTATATATTATATATATGAAAATTTCTTGATTACTGTAAAAGTGGACCAGTATTTGTAATAATCGAGAATGCCTGGGCATTTGACAAAACAAGAAAAAAAAAAAAAACCCTTTTCTTTTCCTTGAAAATGTTGCAGTAAAATTTAAATGGTGGGTCTATAATAATTTGTTCTTGTCACAGTAACTGTAAAGTCGGAGTTTTAGTAAATTTTTTTCTGCCTTGGGTGTTGAATTTTTATTTCAAAAAAATGTATAGAAACTTGTATTTGGGGATTAAAAGGGGATTGCTACACCATGTAGAAAAAGTATGTAGAAAAAAAAGTGCTTAATATTGTTATTGCTTTGCAGAAAAAAAACCCCCCACATTTCTGATCTGTGCTTAATTCTCTCCTCCCACCTCCCTCTGGAATGGATATATTGGTTGGTTCATATGATGTAGGCACTTGCTGTATTTTTACTGGAGCTTGTAATTTTTTAACTGTAAGCTTGTCCTTTTAAAGGGATTTAATGTACCTTTTTGTTAGTGAATTTGGAAATAAAAAGAAAAAAAAAACAAAAACAAGCAGGCTGCCATAATATATTTTTTTAATTTGGCAGGATAAAATATTGCAAAAAAAAAAAAATTTGTATGTTAAGTCCTATTGTACAGGAGGAAAAAAAAAAGGGTTGTTTGACAACCTTCGAGGAAAAGAAACAAAAGGAAGTAGCTAAATGCTTTGGTTCACAAATCATTTTAGTTGTATATATTTTTGTCAGAATTGGCCTCTACCAAGGACTGTTCAAAATAGGGCTTCAATCTGAATGCCCTGAACCTTGCATCAAGGCTCCCTGGTGTGGCCACAGCAGACCGGATGGGAAATTCTTTATTCGAGTTGAGTGGAGAAATCAGTTTTTTTGTCAAGATGTCGGTACCATTTCACAGAGCCCTCCCTCCTATACCAGGCATCTGTAAAGATGTCAGACTTGGGGGAGCGAGCGCACGCCTTCTCTTCACCGCCACCACCACCTCTCCCACCCTTCAGAGCAGAAAGAAATGCAAACCGAGCTTTCTCTAGTCCTTGAGAGAACGTCAAGCAAGCAAGCAACACAAGACAAAAAAATGTAATAAAGGGAGCTGGCGTATCAGCCAGGCGCAGGTGACGTGGTCTGCGGCTGGGACCAGGGCAAATTGAATTTCAGGAAGGAGTCCCCATCACAGCCAGGACCTTTTAATCTGTGGAGAGTGGTGGCCTGCTGTCTTTCTTACCTGCTCCGCTGCTTTCTCTCCGGAACCTACATTCCGTCAGTTTCCAAATGCCTAGGGCCTGGGACGAATTCGGTGCCTTTCCACAGTTCTTTCTCTTTCCTTCCTGTGTGTTTCCTCTCCATCTTCTCACCTCTGTCAGTCCTTGATGTGCTCATTTTTATCTGATTTATTTCTCCCTCTCTGTCCCCCCACCCCCACCCCTCTTTTTTTTTTTTTTTTTTGTAAAGCCAAGTAGCTTTAAGATAATAAAGTGGTGGTTTTTTGGATGAGGGAATAATACGTTTTAAAAAAATACCTATATCAGGAAGCCATTTTTTATTTCAGGAACTCTAAGAAATCATTATATTTCAGGTTATGAAAGTATAAGCAAGCATCCTTTCGGGCAATTTCTTTACCAAATGCAGAAATATCTCTTCTGGGCGCTTTTCTGTTTAATACGCTTTTCCTCTTGCCACTTACCTTTGCAAAGTAAAAAGAATGGGGGAGGAGGTGGAAGATCAAGCTGAGATGTTTGTTTCCTACCTGTTCGACCCGAAGACCCACGGGCTGCCCTTTTTTCCGGGTGCCCTGGGGAGGTCCTTGAGCAGCCTCCAAGGCGATCCTCCTGTAGTTACAAAAGCTAGCCAGCTCTCACCAGCTTCCGCAAAGTCACCACGATGCCAGAATCAAGCCATCCTAAAGCACAAAGATTGTGGCTCTGTCGACTGCAGAGAAATGAGCATTTTTGCTTCTCTTTTTTTGTGTTTAAAAAGCCAACACTGAAGCAGATGACCCAGTGAGAGAGGCCCCGGGCCCCAGGGGGACCCAGCCGACCCCAGGCTGGTTTTCCACACTGCCACAACTTGGTTCAAAGTTGCCCCCAATTGGAACCTGCCACTTGCCATTTGAGGGTCTTTCATGGGGGAGGAGGAGGAGGCTGACTTCCCCTAAGCAACAATGTGAAAAGGAGGGAAGTCAGCCATTCGTTCCGGTCCTAAGTGACGGTCAAGGATTTTTGTGGAACACAGGCAAACCCATGAATTTTGGTGCTCCTTGTATCAGCTCTGCGAAGCAAAGTTACATTGAGTTAAGTTGTTTGCATTTGTACTGGCAAGGCGAAATATTTTTATTACCTTTTCTATTACTTATTGTATGAGCTTTTGTTGTTTACTTGGAGGTTCTGTCTTTTACTACAAGTTTGGAACTATTTATTATTGCTTGGTATTTGTGCTCTGTTTAAGAAACGGGCACTTTTTTTTTAATTATGGATAAAATGTTGAGATGACAGGCGGTCATTTCAATATGGCTTAGTAAAATATTTATTGTTCCTTTTATTCTCTGTACAAGATTTTGGGCCTCTTTTTTTTCCCTTAATGTCACAATGTTTAGTTCAGCATGTGTCTGCCATTTCATTTGTACGCTTGTTCAAAACCAAGTTTGTTCTGGTTTCAAGTTATAAAAATAAATTGGACATTTAACTTGATCTCCAAACCTTGTCCTTTTCTGTGTCTTTCAAGGGTAGGGGATGGACAGCTTATTTCCAAGGGTGAATTAAAGGTCTTTCTCCATTTTTCTCCTGACTCAAACCCGTTCCTCTTGTCTGAGAGGACAGGAAATAATGGCACAAGAGACCAGCAGTGCTTTTTCTTTACCCCGGTGAAGCACTGTGATGTGGAACAGTGGTTCTCACTCCTGGTCACACATTGGAATCACATGAGAGTTTTTCAAAATCCCTGTGTCCAGGCCCCACCCCAGACCATCTTTTATCAGACTCTTTCGAGGTGAGATCTAGGCATTGGTATTTTTGAAAAGGACCCCAGTGACTTGCAAACAGCCAAGTTTGAGACCAAGTGGTTTAGAAGTAAAAGCCGTTGTCTGGGAATAACAAGACTTGGGTCTAGTTTAAATCAGCTAGCATTTCCTGAATTCCCAGGGAGAGCCACTGGGTGAGGCCTTGAGGGGTCAGGAATGAGTGGGACAGAGGTCTGGCACCCTTGGTTCCCCATCGTGAAGGGAGGCTGTTTGAGTAGAGAGCATCTTCACCCATCCGTGAGTTTGAATGGAATCACACAGGACCACCACTTTCTTCCCGTTCCCCGTGTGAGAGGTTGATAGATCGGAGCATGCTTTCCTTGGGGATAATATCACAGATCTGGAGGAGGAGGCATGGTCTTTAGGAAGGAAATAGCCTTTCACTGGGCTTTTCCCAGTGCTGGGCTTGGAGCAGTCAGCAAGATGGAAGGGGAAGATGACAGCTTCCCATTGGGTTTCAGCCAATTAATAAACCACTGCTTTCCTTCTACTAGCGAGAGGCAGAGCTCAGCCTTGAGTGAAAAGAGATCAAAGACCCACTAATTTCTCAACTACTCTTTTTTTTTTTTTCTGGTCACGTCCCAAGGCATATGGGATCCTAGTTGCCCGACCAGGGATCGAACCTGTGCCCTCTGCAGTGAAAGCATGAAGTCTTAAACACTGGACTGTCAGGGAAGTCCCCCCCTGACCACTCTTCTTATGTTTCCTGCTCTTTAAAACACAAAAAAATGTTCCACTCAAGTCACTTTTCTGCAAACTCACTGGGCACCATCCACAAACCAGGTAGGCAGCCTGGGAATCTTTGCAAGGAGACTTTGCAAAAAGTGAAAACACCAAGCTATGTTTATGAAGATGCTGTGTGGGTTCTGCCCACAGAGGTGATAGCAGGAGTGAGGGTGATGTGTTCCTCTGTGTCCTGTCTCCAGAAAGTCACCATTCTTCCAACATATCTAAGCACTGGACAGATACGGGTTTAAAGATACAGGTGCTGGATTTAAAGTTCAGCACCAAAAATGAAGTGGGTCACCATTCAGGAAAAGCCCTGCCCTGCTTTCTGGGCTGTTTTTGTTTGTTTGGTTTTTTGTCCAGTCGCTCAGTTGTGTCAGATTCTTTGTGACCCCATGGACCGCAGCATACCAGGCTTCCCTGTCCTTCACCATCTGCTGGAGCTTGCTCAAACTCACCTTGGTGAGTTGGTGATGCCATCTAACCATCTTGTCCTCTGTCACCCCCTTCTCCTGCCTTCAGTCTTTCCCAGCATCAGGGTCTTTTCCAATGAGTCGACTCTTCGCCTCAGGTGGCCAAAGTATTGGAGCTTCAGCCTCAGCATCAGTCCCTCCAATGAACAAAATTTCTAGGGTGTAGAGAAGAAAGACTCCCTGCAAAGAATTATGTTCATTTCTGTAGGTCCTGGGCTGCAAGACTATCCCTCACTGGCTTTAGGATGCCATGATGTCTGAGCCATGTGATTTTTCCTGCATAGAAAACTGAGCAAAAAGCAGAATTGAAATGCTCAGCTGCTTTCTGATTGGAGCACAAGGGAATGTACTCATTTGGGGAAGAACCTCCATCTTAAGGTTGAGGAGCAAACACCTAAAGTGAGCACTAAACGTGCTTGGGATGACGTGTCATTCGCACTCAGCTGGTCCCTTCCGGCCCAGCCCTTCTAAGAAGGCCAAGTTTAGAGATCTCCAGCAGGACAAAGGAAAAGCTCCCCTCAGTCCTCGTTATCTCACCAGTGGCTCTGTGACCTCAGGCCAATCCTTTCCCTGTTCTGGGCCTCATTTTCCCTATCTGTAAAGTGAAGTGTTAAGGTCACCTGGAAGGACCCATTTAGCCTTCAGATCAGCGTGCCGTGTGTGCAGAGAGGAACAAAATTTGATGGGAAAGTTAAAGTCAGAAATGTTCCCTATGTAGCTGGTGGAAATCAGGGTGGGAATGGGTTCTCAAGAACAGAAAATCTCATGTTTTTGGTGGCTGTACCTTGGAGTCAACAGTCTCAGGGCACAGGGTCTCGCCTTCTTTTTGTCTAAGTGATCCCAACTGTGGCTGGGCATCAGGGCAGGCTGCTAAACACCTCACTTTTGAGCTGTAAGTTCAGCAATTAAAACTGGGAAGCATCCTCTTCTACTTCGGAGGTAAAACGAAATGAATGGAGCTTTTATAAAAAAAAAATGTTAATGTGGTGAAACAGATAATGAAACTTGCAACTTTCAAGCCAGCGAAGATGAAATTCTGACTTTCTTATGTGCTGGTAAAATCTTAGTCACTAATTGCCTGCTCTGCCTAACCTTCAAAACAATTTTATAGGATTCTGGTTAAAGACCATTCAGGATGTGCTAAAGAAGTCAAAACAGAGCGAGCTTAAAAGTCTATTTAATGCCCAAAGCCAAGACTGAGCTGGAGGTCAGGCCTGGTGTTTGCTCTTTGGAGCCTCCTTGTTTGATGAGAGAGGCTGCAGGATGGGGCAATGTGGGCAATGAGAGGAGCCAAGAGGCAGGCAGTGATCGGCTGTGGAGAGGGAGGATTCGGGAAATTGTGCTGCTCTTTGAAAGATGTGTGAGGATTCACCAGGAAGATGAGGACAGGTGAGGAGAAACGGCCTGTCTTGCAGAGCGTATGACACAGGAAAACGCATGGTTGTTGGAAAAGCACAGTAAAGCCCATGGAGAAGCAAAATCATATAGTTAGTTGGACCCTGAAAAGCATCTAGCACAAATCCATCTAATAGAGGAATCTTCTCCCAGACCCTAAAGTATAGTACATCCATCTGTTCATTTATCCAGTCATCCATCTGTCTGTCTACCTGTCTGTCTATCCACCCATCTGTCTATCCATTCACCCATCTACCTGTCCATCCATCCATCCATCCATCTATCCTCTTATCCTTTTATCCATCCATCTACCTATCCATCCTTTCTATCCATCATCCATCCATTTATTTATCCATCCAGCCAACCATCTACAAGTTGTTCATTAATGAACATTTGTCAAAGATCTATGCTGTGTCAGAGATCCTGCTGGGAAGTTACAGATCAGGAAGACTCACCCCCGCCTTCCTGGGGTTCACCTTTTAGTGGGCAGAATGGGACATCCATCCATCTATCCAGTTATTTACTTCCTTAATGATCCCAGACTTCCTCCTGAGTGCCCCATACTCCTAGGCCCTGAAGATGCAGTCCAGGGCTTGGATGGCTCCCAATTAGCTGGGCAGGCAGTGAGTGAACCGACAGTCAGAGCTCTGTCTTTTGGATGGGAGCACAGGGTCCGACAGGAGGCTGGAGGACACGTGTCCTTCATTACAGATTAGGAAACCCAGTCCTTGTTCCGTTGTGTCCTGCCACCATCCAAACTGTCTCCCTGTGCTGTGGTTTCCTTCTCACAGGCCACGATCAAAGTACCTGTGTTCCTGTGACCTTTTATAATCAAAGATGTAAAAAATAAGAAACATCTAGTGTGGGACATATCCCAGGATGTGAACCCAGAGGTCCTGCCTAGAAGTGGGTGGTCACTCTCTCTGTCCAAGCCCCACGATGCTATAACGATCCCGACATGTTGCTCATGGGACAGGCCATGCAAAATGTCTTTGGCTCAAGAGGCATTGCAGGCTGAAATTTCCAAAGGGTAGGCAGAGTAGGCAGGTCGTGCAGGAAAGCCAGGAGCTACTGAGGATCAGAGATGGTGTCTCTCTCCCCCTTCTTTCTTCCTAGCTCTTCTTCCTTCCTTCCATTGACAAGATTAAAAGCATCTACTCCACGCCCCATGGTACAATGAGGATCTGGTAAGTGAAAGGGAGAAATTCAGAGGTAGACCACAGGTTACACTCCCAGATCTCCAACCTCATCTTTGACTCGCAGCCTGACTCAGTCTTTGGGCCTGCATTTGGTGGTGTAATTGAGGGTTCCGTTTTGTTGCCCATATCATGTTTCAACCACGTTCCCCTATCTTCTTTTGAAAGCTCTGGGGTAGTGTGTATTAAGAGCTAAATGATATTGTGGTTATTTGATCTGGTCGTGTTGTTCTCACAACTGTACTAAGTATGTGCTGTTCTGTGCTTAGTCACTCAGTTGTGTCTGAGTCTTTGCAACCCTGTGGACTGTAGCCTGCCAGGCTCCTCCGTTCATGGGATTCTCCAGGCAAGAACATTGGAGTGGGTTGCCATGCCCTCCTGCAGAGGATCTCCCCAACCCAGGGATCGAAACCAGGTCTCCCACATGACAGGCAGATTCTTTACCATCTGAGCCACCAAACAATTCCTAGAGAGAAGAAGAGTTATATGCCTACAGATGGCCACTTTGACATTTCATTCAATTCCTTTTTAACAGTTTCACAAACTTCTGAGGAGGCCAATAGGAAGTATAATAAAATATGAATAAGAAGCAGAGTTATAAATAAATAAGAGATGAAACGATGATCTAGGCATGTACACCCATGTAAAAATACAGCCTGGAGAAGCAGGCTATATGTTGCTACACTTAAATCATAGATCTGAGTCCACATTTCTTGGTAGCTAAAGGGAAAAAAGAAACATAGACACATTGCTTATTATTCATGAGGAGAAAGCATCCCAGTGAATGACACATATGACAGCAAGATGTTAGAAGTAGCCTCTGTATTCAACAAAGGAGTGAATGAATGAAAAAGAGTTTGTTCAAATGGAATATTTATCTCCATTGGAAATGAGAGGCTTGAAGACTTTGGTAATAGTTGAGATGATGTTAACTTTCAGAAGAAGAGAAAATATTCATATGCTGTAATTCCAAATGATCTAGCTAAGCGCAGGTGTGGATTTGACTCCACGGTGATTGTGGTTTCTGATTGTGAGTTCATCTTTGTGAGTTCCCCTCTGGGTGAATCTGATGACTTCTGCTATAAAAACTTCCTTTAGAACACATTCATGGCTGTTCTTTGGGGCCCCAGCATCTTCAATTGGTCTGGAAAGGGAGTGTAAACCTGGATCCCACATACACTTGGCCCCAGTGACTTCTTCCACTCAAGGTCCAGAGAGATCACACACTTCTTCCTCATGTTCCAGAGGGTGTAGCATTTCTTGTCCAGCAGAGCAGTTCTTCAGAATCCAGGCTTTATGAAGAAGGATCCATTCTAGGTGCCCAGGGTCACGAGGATGGATGCCAGAGCTCTGGTCCCTTAGTTCAGGCTCTGTTCCTGGACTGGCAACCCATGCACCACGGAGTCTGTTCTCTCTGCTTTGGCTGTGATTCCTTTTCTTTCCAGGATTCCCCCTTTTATTGTAGTTGTTCAGTCGCTCAGTCAGGTCCGACTGTTTCGAGACCCTGTGGCTGCCAGGCTCCTCTGTCCATGGGATTCTCCAGGCAAGAATATTGGAGTGGGTTGCCATACCCTCCTCCAGGGGATCTTCCTGACCCAGGGATCCAACTCGAGTCTCCTTCGTGGAAGATGGATTATTTACCACTGAGCCTCAAGGGAAGGCAAGTTACATCCAACTTAATTTTTTTTAAAATTACAGTTGATTTTATTGTGTTAGTTTCTGGTGTATAGCATAGTGATTTAGCTATATATATATATATATAAAATACTGTATATATATACATATATGTATACACAATATATATAAAAATATTGTATATATATATATTATATATATATATAAAAAATTGGGGTTTCCCTGGTGGCTCAGCTGGTAAAGAATCCACCTGTGATGCGGGAGACCTGGGTTCAATTCCTGGGTTGGGGAGATCCCCTGGAGAAGGAAATGTCAACTCACTCCAGTACTCTTGCCTGGAGAATCCCATGGATAGAGGAGCCTGGGGGGCTACAGTCCCTGGGTCGCAAAGAGTCAGACGCAACAGAGCAACTAAGTGCAGCACAGATATATTAATTTCATATTCTTTTCTATTACTATTTATTATGAAAGGATTCCCTTTCTTTTGAGTTTAGACACACACACACACACACACAGATGCACGCATATGCTATATATAACTATGTATCATGTAACTATATACTGTATAACTCTACAAGTATATACAACTATAATTGTATATAAAACTATATAGGTCTATACGATCATATATATGAAACTATAAGCATACATAGAGTTATATATACAGGTATATAACTACTCTATTGTTATATACACATATGTGTTATGTCTATAGTTATGTATATGTAAGTCTGTGTGTATAACAATATAACAGGAAAATGAGTAATTGTGATATTTTATTCATCTGGAACCCTTATCCCTGATTTCTAGGACTTAGCATTGGGAAATAAATATCTCTTTTGATAAGTCCATGTAGTTCATCTTGTATTTGAATCATGTGATTTGTTGCATTTCCTTTCTTGCCGCAACTGCCAGGAAGCTCCATGTAAATTTAATGTTCAATCATAGAATCAGTATTAGTTTAAGATTAAAAAAATACTCCTCCTTTGATCCATGTGGTGATGTAAAAATATATCCTTCCTGCAGTGTTATTTTTGAGTTTCTATTTAGACAGCCTCATTGGACATGTATTGGCTTCCCAGGTGACTCAGTGGTAAAGAATCTGCCTGCCAACGCAGGTTCAGTCTCTGGTTTTGGAAGATCCCCCGGAGGAGGAAATGGCAATCCACTCCAGTCTTCTTGCCTGGAGAATCCCATGGACAGAGGAGCCTGGCGGGCTGCAGTCCCTGGGGTCGCAAAGAGTCAGACACGACTGAGTGCCTAAGCATGCACAGTGGACATGTGATCTTATTGTAACCTCCTCTATACTTTTTAGAAGATGGCGAGATAGAGAATTGTAAATAAATAGATGAATAATTCCCTCCACCCCTGGGGCCATCTCAAGACATTCTGTTGAAACTACTTTGTTTTCCCCAGACCCCTGAACCTCTCTGTCAATGGTTGGTCCTCATGACCTTGTGATAGCCCTGGTATTGTCAATCTGAACTGTTTTCAAGGTCTCCAGTACTGTTCTTTGTCGTCTTGTGAAATTGGAAACTTGTGTGCAGCGGAAAGAATGCGGAATTTAGAATTGGATGCACTTGAGACTGAGCAGGAGTCTCGGCTCTGGGGTCTGTGATCTCTTGGCCTCAGTTTCATATCTGTACTATGGGGACAAGGTCTCCTCACTGCAGAACTGTGAGGGTCGCACAGCACAAGGTAGCCAAGGCCCCCGGTACCTGAAGGTGCCCAGTGAAATTCCACTTGCGGTCCCTTTCTTTTTCGGGTCGTGGTCCCAGCTTCCCAGAAAGCCCTCAACCATGCCCCGTCACCCCAGCCTCTTTGCCTCCTGCCGCCCAGCCCCCCACACCCCTCTCTGCAGAGAATCCGCGGTCTCCCACCCTGGACTCCTGGGCTCTGGGAAGTTTCGTCCCCTCCTGCCCCATCCCCACCATGTGTGTGTCTGGGGGCGCCTTGCCGGGCGTAGTCACGGAGACACCCACATGGCTCAGTCCCGAGCACCTGGCAGCTGGGCAGGGGGTGGCTGGCATGTAGGGTAGGGGCCGCTCTGTTGGCGGGGCACTGAGCTGCCTGGCCTGCCCTTGCTCGTGGGAGGGGCCGGGGCCTGGCAGATGGGAGCCATCGTGTTGCACGGTCTCCCTCTGTCTTCCTGTCTCTCTCCTG